CCACGAAAGCTTATGCTCTAATAAATTTGTTAGTCTCTAAGGTGCCACAAGTCCTCCTGTTCTTCTTTTTAATATTAGAGTTTGTTTAAAAGTGCTGAAGACTTTTCCCAAAAAATATGGAAATATTTCCCCACAAGTTTTGAAAAGGAACGATTTGTCACTTATTTGAAATGTAATTATGACTTTTTTTTATTGAAAAAAATTGGCTTTTTAAAACATTTGGTGTTTTCTCCCCATTTCTCACTCTTTTAAATTTTTTCCCATCTCCTCTTCACCACCCTTTTTAAAATCTTTTTTTCCAATATTCCAGTGAAAAAGAAGGGAAGGGGAGAAAGCAGGCAGAGGGAAAAGAAAACCTCAAAAAAATTAAATTAAAATATTTTTGGTTTTGTATTGCACTAAACATGGAAAACTTAAAAAAATAAACAGTTACATTTTTGAAAAAAGCCATTTTTCAGTAAAATGTTTTTCATTTGAAAAATGTCAGTTGGCTATGTTAAGTATAGAGTACATAAACTGGGGATACGTTTGTGTTGTAATAAGACCATTAAGTGTTGCAATCCTAAACCTTTCTGGTGTTTATATAGTAACATTTCCAAAATATATGGTACTTGATACTACACTGGTCTGCAACAAAAAGACAGTATTTGTCAACAGATACCACTCAGTGGAGTTACTGCGCTTTCTAAGTATAATGTGAAACTGTTGTATCTTGGATGCTACTGTGAGGTGCTGAGTACCCTCAGTTCTCATTGATTTCAATGGGGGTTGGAGACATTAGTATGTATCTCATAGGATTAGGCCCTTGTTCTTTGGGCCATGTCTACAATACAGGGTCTATAAGGCATAGTTATGGTGCCATAATTATGCCGGCATAACTCTGTAGTGTAGACGCAGCCTACAGCAACAGAAGGTGTCCTTCCGTCTCTGTCGGAACATCACCTCGCCGAGCTACAGTAGCTAGCTTGACCAGAAGCATTCTTCTGTTGACCTAGCTGTGTTTATGCTATGGGATTATGCTGGCATAGCTATGATCTTCAGGGGTGTGAATTTTTCACATCCCTGAATGCCATAGCCTTGTTGACCTAAACTTTCAGTGTAGACTGTGCCTAAATGTATAACGATCTCTCAAGAAAGTGTTTTGTGATCTTTACATGGACAGGGGTCCTCAAACTATCAAAAGTGTATTTGTTTTCTTGTGAAATAGTACTAAGGAATTTTGCTGGATCTTCCAAGTTCAAAGGATCTTAATCTGACAATATTTGAGGTTATGTTTTATGTCGGATTGTATTTTGAATTGCTACTCAATCTCAAACCCATTTCTCTCAGTGCTAACCAGGTTCTTGTTTTCCTCTCTTAGGTTGCGGTCTTTGGTAAAGCAATTAGAGAGAGGAGAGGCTTCGGTTGTAGACCTAAAAAAGAATTTGGAATATGCAGCTACCGTACTTGAATCAGTGTACATTGATGAGACTAGGTGAGTTAATGACACCGGTGTATTGATATTTTGTACCACTCAAATTAAGTTGTAATTTACATATCAGTTGGGAAACTGATGGTCTAATGGCGTGCACAGTAGGCACAGTTGCTGTCATTCTCAGATGAGAGTCCAAGATCTGAACTATCCTCTTAAGGTAGTCATCCATGTCAGGATTGAGGCAAACTGGTGGGGTGTTGTTCACACTTCTGCTTCTACCCATTGACATGTGCATAAATAGTTTTGGCAAATCTATCATGTCAATTCGTTTCATCAGAACTAAATGTACGTCTACAGAAGCATCCTGGGCAAAATTTCCAAAACTTAAAAGGAAGTAATTATCTGATTGTTATTTGGAAATGTTATAAATCTCACCCAGCTAAAAAGGATGACAAAATGGGGATTGTGAATACTGGAAAGCTGAAGATGAGAAATCACGGGAAAGTAATGGAGCTCTGTTTCAGTGTGCTGATTCTCTTGTTTATCTGCCTGGGAGTGAGCTTCACAATCTGGCATGTGGCTATCCAAGAAAACAAACAATCTGTTATAGATTGTCAAAAATGTGTTCCATTAGGATTACCAAAAAAAAGTAGAATTTTTAACAACTGCTTTAATTGGAGTGTGTATGAGATGTTATAAACCTGTGTTAAGAGCCCTCTATTTACCCATTTTCCCACTCCCCTTCAGGCGTTTATTGGACACAGAAGATGAGCTCAGTGATATTCAGTCAGATTCCGTGCCCTCTGAGGTCCGGGATTGGTTGGCCTCCACCTTCACGCGGCAGATGGGGATGATGCTTAAAAGGTCCGAGGAAAAGCCCCGGTTCAGGAGCATCGTCCATGCAGTGCAAGCTGGTATATTCGTGGAGAGGTAAAGGAAGATTTAATTATTCTGCTCCAGTGGCTGGTCAGGCATCACAGATTGTATTTTTAATATTGAATGAAGACTATTTTATTTTGCTTTTATTGTTACGTAGAGCTGAGCAAGGACTGGAAAACTGGGACTAAATAATTGATCATAAATGGAATCTTCACGTATTTATTCGCTATTAGTATAATACGGATCTAATGTTATAATTGGTGCCATTTTGGTTTTTCTTCTTTTTTTTTTTAAATGTATGCTTTCAGGGACCAAAGGGAGGACAAAGACTATATGGCTTCAGATATTCCTATGATAGGGATAAGAGATTAACCAAAGGCAGACAATTCAGTCCCTGGAGTAACTCTACCTTTGTGGTCCAGTAAAATGTATAAAGGATGGACAGGTGGCTAATGTAAATCAAACCAAACCAAACCTGTATCTCATCATTCCAGGCTTGAATTACATGAGTCACTGAGATCATCCAGACCAAAATCAGTTTAAAGGTTCAGAACTCAGAGGAGTCCACTAAACCAGTGAAACTCCCTCAGTCTTCTCCACTGCTGATTCCTGCAGCTTGTACCAAATCACACCTCTACAGCTAGATCAAACCTGATTTCAAATGTCTGAACCTTTTAAAACTTCTTGCTGTTTGAATTAGGACTGCCCTGTATCCAACTTTCAGAGTTTCACCTGTCTTTAGTGAGGAACCTTCCTTCCCTGACGTTCTGTTTCTTCAAAACAGAATATGGAGTCACATATATGAAATATACTCAGGGCCAAATTTAGACAATGTGTAAGCAGGCATATCCCAGTTATCTACAGTGAAGTTGAATGCACTTATGGTAGGGCTGAATTGGGTTCTCAGTGTATTGAAGAGTTACTTTTAACTGAACTCTTTATGTTGTACCTACAATATTTTGTTTTATATACACCTCTACCCCCATATAACGCTGTCCTCGGGAGCCAAAAAATCTTACTGCGTTAGAGGTGGGAGGGATAGCTCAGTGGTTTGAGCATTGGCCTGCTAAACCCAGGGTTGTGAGTTCAATCCTTGAGGGGGCCACTTAGGGATCTGGGGCAAAAATCAGTACTTGGTCCTGCTAGTGAAGGCAGGGGGCTGGACTCGATGACCTTTCAAGGTCCCTTCCAGTTCTAGGAGATGGGATATCTCCATTTATTTATTTAAACTTGCTTTGATCCGCCAGAGTGCGCAGCCCCGCCCCCCGGAGTACTGCTTTACCGAATTATATTCAAATTCATGTTAAATCAGGTTGCGTTGTAGTGTAGTACAGAGGTGTAGTACATTTCAGTAGGAGTTGTTCACTCCAGTCACAGTAGGTTAGCAATAGTGTTTATCAGAATTTCATTGATGGTCTAATCTAGAGTCCGTTAGACATGTTTGGTAGCCATTATACCACAGGCCACATAGAAACATGATAGTTTCTTCCTGCACATTTATAGCCTCTTTTCTATCAGTGTCTCTGAATATTCAGAAATTTCTTGTACATGTGTTAAGAGCACTAGCAGATATCTATAAGATAAGGGGGTGTACCTGTCATTGCTTCAGTTTGGAAAACTTTTCTCACCACTTTGACAAGCTATACTATGTACACCAACCACCAAAGTATTTGTTCAAAACAATGTATTCAGTTCATTTAGCATTTTTGTTCTGTTTTTGAATGATCTTTTTACAGATTTATTCACTATTTGAAATTGTTCAGTAAGTAGTTTTTTATTAACATACGTGAGCCTGTGTTGTTCATGAACAGCTCATAACAAATAGTCAGTGGATTACTGCGTTTTCTACCATCTGTTGTTCAGGATTGATGGATAGTTACCTAAATCACATGATCAGAGATGGTTGAAGGATTAAAATCTATATTTGGGGGGGGGGAATCGAAATGTCAAAGTTCTTTTAATTTCAGAAGTCTTAAAACTAGCCCATTTTTTTTTCAACGTTCTGTAAATGTTTTTGATTTGCTTTTTTGAAATTCGTATTAAACTATTATTGGTTATTGAAATATTTCATTTAGCAAAAGCCTGGGATATCATGTATGGTAGACTTGTCACTGGTAATAACTGTATAAATATATTTTCATTAGGTCTTATGTTGTTTACATGTAGAAAAGGGTGCAGTCTGCACCTATAGTCTTATTCAGCAAAACATTTAAGCATGTGTTGAACTTTGAGCACTTGTACAAACCCATTAAAGTCAATGGGACTTGAGCACACACTTCAGGTTTAACACATGCTCAAGTGCTTTGCTGAATCAGGGCATAGGTGCTAATTACTAGAGCTGGGCAAAATCTTTTGTCCTAAACTTTTTTCAGTGAAAAATGTAGCTTTGACAACACTGAAATGTTTTGTGATTTTGTGTTGGTTTCACCAAGTTGTTTGTTTAGAGAAAAAACAACATATTCAGTAAAATTAAAAACATTTTGTTTCGATGTTTTCAAAGGAAAGCATTATGATTTTTTTGGTTCAAAATGACTTTTTGCTTCTCAATTTCCTTAAATTTTATTTTTTAAAAATTCAAAAACATGAAATATACTCAAAACTGAACTGACACATTTAGTTTTCTGTTAAACAAAGTATTTCATTTGACCCAAATATAAATTTTTTTTGATGTTTTAATTCACTGATTTTTTTTTAATTCACTTTTGGTTCAATCCAAAGCAAATATTTATTTTGAGGTTTTGGACTTGCCAACAAGCCAAAAAAAAATCAAATTATTTACCCAGCTTTTCTGATTATGCTCTTTGCCCACACAAACACAAAACTATATGGAGCTGTTTTAAAAAACAAAGTAAATCGGCAGGAAAAGCTGTACCATACAGGAGCTGAATAAGTCCAGTCAACAGATTTGATATGTTTACTGAAGCTCTATCTTGAAATGCATTCTGCCCTGGGCCAGCAAGGACTGAGAGGGTTGAAGATGCAGTTATTGTGGGAGAATAGGAAAGTCTTGCATTGCTGAAGAGCAGCCCCTCTGCTTGATTAAAATGAGGCAGATGCTGAGTGAAATCCCATCTGGTTTTACTTGTCCAGAAAGACTGTGGCCCTAGTATGTGTCGTGGAGTGGGAAGGATGAAAAATGAGGAAATTTGAGGTCATCCTTAGGACTGTAATAAAGATATGGAGGATATGTACAGGGAAGGATGAAAGAAGAATTGCAATCCATTTTTCTTGAATAAATGATGTCTCCTGAAAAGAACTCAAATGAATCTTTGGTTTTCTATTTTGTTTCTCTGTTCATTTATTTATTTTATTTTGGTAGAATGTACAGACGGACATCAAATATGGTTGGCCTGAGCTACCCACCAGCTGTAATTGGAGTGCTAAAGGTAATACTGATGAAAGTGTCTTTTAACAAATGTTGGTAAGGCACTGTGATATTTTGGTGGGAGGTCTTTGAACTCACCCTCTCATTCTCTCTGAAGTTTAATATAATTCACAAACATTAATCATTTACTGACCTAAGGAAAAATCCTTCCTGTTGAGAAAAAACAGATCAAGGTTCTGGCCATTTTCAAGTAGTGAAGATGACCAGGAGGATAAGGTCATAGCTCTGTGGGAGGTTACAATACTCAGGGCAACTGAGAACTGAATGTGATGCTGAAATCAACTTGAGACTTTGATAGTAAATAAAGAAAACTACAATGCATGAGTTTGACTGAAGAGTAACCTGTTCCCAGTTGTGTGCTTTTAAATGGGAAGACTGAGATGTTATAGTGGTGATGTGTTACATTTGTGATTCCTGTTCATGTCAACAAGGACCATGGAGATCATGAAACCACTGGCAGTTTATGTGAACTATTGAGAAAAACCAGGCATGATGTCCTAATGGATAATGCCTTTATACAAGTTTCTGCTATATTAGTGATGAGTGAGTCAGCACAAACCTTTGTCTTTCTGTGTGTTGAACTGAAATATGCTTTGAAGAGATTCTGTCACTTCAGTACTATAGTTTAGCCTGTCTGTAGATTGGATACCCAGCCCTTCACAATTTGACAGGCACGGTGTTTCACATCTTACTATAGGCTCAACAAGGTAAGGGCTGAACAGCGATCTTGTGTTTAAGGCATTGGAGTATGAGTCAGAAGACCTGAATTTGTTTTCCAGCTTTACCATAGACATGAGATATGTTCTACTCCATTTGAAGTTAATAGGATAACTTCCTTTGAAGTAAATGGAGCAGGATCTAGCCCAGAATCTTTCTGTGCTTCAACCTTTTTATATGTAAAATGGAGGAACACTATTTCCCTGCATCACAGGAGAACAGTGAAGCCCAGGCACTTTGAAATCCTCCCTAAATGTAGGGCATTATGGTCCTGTCTTGCTTCTTTGGTGAAATCCTGCCCCCATGGGAGTCAATGCCAAAACTCCTGACTTCAACAGGGCCAGGATTTCACCCTCAGTGTTCTGAATTATTTTATCATGAAGCACTGAACAAGCATGGTTAACCTTCACTTTGAGTTTTTTTACATGAACAATTAGTTTGCGGCAAGCTAGGGTGTGAATCTACCCGCACTAGACTGCCACGGTCTAACTGTTCATGTGCACTCTGCTGATCCGCATTAACAGTTTGATCTAGTCCTCTTTGAAACTGGACTGTACAGGGAAGGATGTTTAGCAGACTGTTAATGTGCATCAGCAGGGTGTATATGAACAGTTACACCATGACAAGTTAGCCTGGGGTAGATTCACACCACAGCCTGCTGGGAACTATGTGTTTGTGTAGACAAGTGCTTAGAGCAACAGAACAGCTTTGAGAGGGTCTACACTCATTCAACTTTCCTCTTCCCTCCAAACACTGTTTGTCATGCTGAACCCTCATTCAATTAGTCTGTTTGTTTCTTGTAAACACAGAGCAAATTCTCTTTGCTGTAATGCTACATTTTGAACTATAATTCTGTACTTAAAAAACCCCAAAGCCTATGTTTTGATTGCTGACATTAAAAACTGGGACATTTCAGTTGTTCTCAAAGAAGTTCCTGGGATATAGAGACCATCATATGAAAAAGTAGGACTGACCTGGTAAAAATGGGGCACGCAATCACTTTACCGTTTGAAATCTGTGTCAAAACTATTATTGAATTCACAACCATATATTATTTTTATTATTATGTTTCTTATTTTATTTTTAAAAGTTCCAATATTTGTATAAATTATGGATGTCTATACATACAAATACACATTATTATTGTTATTAACTCATTTGCTTCCTGACTGGTGTCAGTGACTTACAAACTAGAATAAACACCTAAAACCAGTGAAGCTTTGAAAAGGACTGTGTGGATGCTTTCTGCACTGTTTCCCCCCATCTCTCCTACTCCCCACCCATTTTCTTGAATAGCTCGAAGAGTTTGGACTTAGTCTTTTGCAGGGGGGAGCATTCCCCCCTTTTATTTGCTTCTCTTGCCTCCACTGATAGTGTTTGAAAACCAAAAGCACAGTTTATGATTTCTCTTTTAAAGCTCAGTCCACAAATCACCTATCTAAGAGCTTGACCGTGTCCTCAGAGCTTGTAAAATCAGTTGCTGTATAGAAGATGATTTACCAACATATGTGAAAATGACTCTCTGAGGGCAGGACTGAGACCCCAATGTCCCCTGTTGCTCTCTGACTCTTTCTGAGACATTCATCAGGCTCTGCATGGGTTTTTCACTCTGAGGCACAAGCTTGAACCTTCAAAGACTCTGTATCCAATGCCATTCACTCCAGGAGGAGTTCTGCATGTGGGAGGTTTTGGGGATCAGGCCCAAATTATGGTTAGATGTAATCACAGTACTTTAGTCTTATTTAACTGTCCTGCTAGTTGGATAATGGCTGCATGGTACTTAAAGCTTATAAGCCTTGTTTGCATCTTTTCCTTCAGGGCTGATCTTAAGGGGCAGATGCTCAGTTGGTGTAAATTCTCATCGCTTCATGGCGTCAATGGAGTGATGACCGTTTACACCAGCTGAAGGTCTGCCTCTACGTCTCTTACAGAAATGCAATTTCCAACGAGATTTTAGTCTTGCTAAAAGTGAAGGAATATTCCACCCAGCGTCTGTTGTTTAACAGCACTCAGCATAATGTTATGTCTAGCTGATCCCCTTCCTCGTTCTGGGACGTGGCGCCAAAGCCATCCCCATACACTTGCATAAATAAAATGCAATCGTCTTTCTTTTTCAATTAAAGTGCCTTGGGGAATTGGGAGCCAACCTGCAACAGAGATTAAGTGTGGAGGATAACGTCCAATTTAAAGATGTAAATCTTTAATGCACAGTTAAAGGAGTGTAATTCAGATAGGCATGAATATGTTCATGCTGGCAGCACCACAAAGTTCTCAGTAATCAGGAATGCTGGTCTCAGGCCAAAGATGGCTGCACTGCTGATCTGTATATCATTCTCCCAGCTTACCTACTCTAGCACCTTTTCTTATTTTGCTTGGGAGAGAGGGCACATGATATTTCAAAAACACCTCACTCTTGGACAAAACATAACTATGGGCTATATCCCACAAAGTGCTGAGTGCTCTCAGTTCCCACTGACTTCAGTAGGTGGCGATGGTGCTCAGTGCTTTGTTCAGAATCTTGCCGAATTGAATCTTTTAAACTAAGATTAATGCTTACTCCTACTGTACCCACCACCTCTCCACCCTCAACCTTGCTATATAATTTATAATTCAGTAGACAGCGTAGGGGGAAATCTCCCAACTGAATGTGGATATCTACCCCTCTTACCAACGTTAACACTACTGTGATTTTTCTCCTACTCTGTAGTATTCAGTAGAGCCTGAGGAAATATATGTAGGGTAAAAAAAAGTTGAAGAAAATTAGGGCCATGTTAACTCTTGGATATTCAATAACATGTGTCAGAGTAGCAGCCGTGTTAGTCTGTATCCGCAAAAAGAACAGGAGTACTTGTGGCACCTTAGAGACTAACAAATTTATTAGAGCATAAGCTTTTGTGGACTACAGCCCACTTCTTCGGATGCATACAGAGTGGAATAAATATTGAGGAGATATATATACAGACATACGGAGAGCATAAACAGGTGGGAGTTGTCTTACCAACTCTGAGAGGCCAATTAAGTAAGAGGAAAAAAAAACTTTTAGAAGTGATAATCAAGATAGCCAGTACAGACAGTTTGATAAGTCCACTCTGTATGCATCCGAAGAAGTGGGCTGTAGTCCACAAAAGCTTATGCTCTAATAAATTTGTTAGTCTCTAAGGTGCCACCAGTCCTCCTGTTCTTCTTTTTGCGGATACAGACTAACACGGCTGCCAACCTCAAAATTTACACCCGCTGTTTAA